TTGGACTTACATTGACGTGACTTTGACATGACGATGACATGTATGTTTCCTCAAACTGACATGAGTTGTGTCTCTCAAATTCCTGCAGATCGGGAGATATATGCCTTTGAAAAAGTGAGTCTCGAATAACCGTCAAAAATTAAAAGTTCTCTATCCTGCAAACCCTTGGACTTACATTGACGTGACTGTGACATGACGAAGATATATACGTTACCTCAAACTGACATCAGTTTTGTCTCTCAGTTTCCTACAGATCGGGAGATATATGCCTTTGAAAATGTGACTTTCGAATAACCGTCAAAAATTAAAAGTTCTCTATCCTGCAAACCCTTGGACTTACATTGACGTGACTGTGACATGACGAAGATATATACGTTACCTCAAACTGACATCAGTTTTGTCTCTCAGTTTCCTACAGATCGGGAGATATATGCCTTTGAAAATGTGACTTTCGAATAACCGTCAAAAATTAAAAGTTCTCTATCCTGCAAACCCTTGGACTTACATTGACGTGACTGTGACATGACGAAGATATATACGTTACCTCAAACTGACATCAGTTTTGTCTCTCAGTTTCCTACAGATCGGGAGATATATGCCTTTGAAAATGTGACTTTCGAATAACCGTCAAAAATTAAAAGTTCTCTATCCTGCAAACCCTTGGACTTACATTGACGTGACTGTGACATGACGAAGATATATACGTTACCTCAAACTGACATCAGTTTTGTCTCTCAGTTTCCTACAGATCGGGAGATATATGCCTTTGAAAATGTGACTTTCGAATAACCGTCAAAAATTAAAAGTTCTCTATCCTGCAAACCCTTGGACTTACATTGACGTGACTGTGACATGACGAAGATATATACGTTACCTCAAACTGACATCAGTTTTGTCTCTCAGTTTCCTACAGATCGGGAGATATATGCCTTTGAAAATGTGACTTTCGAATAACCGTCAAAAATTAAAAGTTCTCTATCCTGCAAACCCTTGGACTTACATTGACGTGACTGTGACATGACGAAGATATATACGTTACCTCAAACTGACATCAGTTTTGTCTCTCAGTTTCCTACAGATCGGGAGATATATGCCTTTGAAAATGTGACTTTCGAATAACCGTCAAAAATTAAAAGTTCTCTATCCTGCAAACCCTTGGACTTACATTGACGTGACTGTGACATGACGAAGATATATACGTTACCTCAAACTGACATGAGTTATGTCTCTCAGATTCCTACAGATCGGGATATATATGCCTTTGAAAAATTGAGTTACGTATACCCTTGAAAAATTTAATGAAGTTCAGCCATCTGTTTGTTCACATGGAAAGATTGACTCTGTATTTTGATCTTAGGCATACCTTTAATTCAGTCCCTCATTCTTTTCTTTTGGAAAAGCCTGATAACTTTGCTCTTTCTTTTCCTTACTTTAAATGGTTCCAAAGTTATTTATCTGCCAGATCTGCCTTTATTCGTATTTTAGGACAGTCTTTTTCTGTTTACTCTGTGTTATCTAGAATGCTGCAAAGCTCTACCTTAGGACCTCTCTTATTTAATGTTTGTATTAACGATATTTGTGACAAAATTAAGTATTCTAAATTTCTCTTGTTTGCTGATGATATGAAACTTTATTGCGATATAAAATCTGTGAATGACTGCAAATTTCTTCAAGCAGATATTGATTCTGTACATCAGTGGTGTGATGATAACAATATGGAACTTAACATTGAGAAAACCATACTTATATCTTTCACCCGGAAATCCAACAGTATTAATTTTAACTACCTTGTTAGTGATATTTTAATTTTTCGTACTGACTGTATTAAAGATCTTATTGTCTTGTTAGACAGTAAGCTAGTACTTTCACTGCCATGTAAATTTTATTCATACACAGGCACTAACGACCTTATGGCTTATTCGGGTTATTACATATAATTTTTCCTCTTTAGACAGTCTTGTTGTTTTATATAATGCTTCAATTAGGTCTAAGCTTGAGTATGCTTCGGTTGTATGAAATAATCTTACACAGACAAATTCCAATAAATTAGAAAATATTCAAAGGAAATTTGCCAGTTTGCGCAATTACTGTTTTTTTCAGTTTAATATTACACGTAAATATGAACTGCTTTTAACTACTTTAAATTTCAGAATACTTCATTCCAGATTACGGCATCTTGATGCTTTACTTCTTATTAATGTATTTAAGGGTAAAATAAATTGTAATTCCATTATGGACGCTGTTGGTTTACGTGTGCCGGCGAGGCAAAAAAGAGAATTTTCTATGTTTTGTGTGCGCAGTGCGCTTAGACATAGTCCTTCAGCCAGGTGTGTCATTGCAGCAAATGACGTACGTAAATGTTTGGACGTATTTGGCATAAACATTGTTTCTTTTGAGGGCACTTTCTCAGTAAGAGAAATGATCTAGATAGTTGCCTAGATTGGATCTAGCTTGGTTATTTGTTTAAAATTTATTATTGCTTTTATTTTATTTTATTTCATTTATATTGTTTTAGTATTTCTTTAGTGTTATACATTTATATTAGTGTTTGGTAGTTATTTGTTTTTGTATGTAATTTGTATTTTTTGTTGTATTTTTTTTAATGTTTGCCTCTCATAGGCTCTTTGCTGTTGGCAAACACTCTAATAAAGGAATTGAATTGAATTAGATGACATGATTTGCCCAGGCTTGTGCTGGCGAATTTCAAAGTTTGTATTCTGTTATAGGGCAATGTTGTGCAGACAGTGGACTGTTGCGGAAGAAATTGAGGCTGCGAAAAGGGTTTTAAGGCTGTTTCAGATACAAGATATAAGAAATCAGATAGCAAAGAATAAAATTTCCAGGCTGATTAATGTCCACGTGTCTGAGTTATAAAATACTAACGATCAAGATGTCTTGAAAATTAATTATGTCTGAAACTGACAAAATAAAAGCCCTCTACTCAAAACTTGTGTTTTAGTACGGGTGACCGAGTGAAACCATCTCACACCCATCTGACATCAGTGCCATTATTTGTGGAGTTTACTTTGAACATCATTTATACAAATGCATTGAGAAGTTTATAAATAAGGGGAAAATTATTGATGTTAGAAATGTTTAAATTCAGTGTTTTGTTTTTGTTTATTTATGTGTTTAGTCCTACGTACTTTTTTAAACATGATTTAAAGTATCGATAGTCTAAACTAGTTCAGATTATACAGAATCAAATGACAATATATAAGTAAAGAAAGCTGTCGTGGGCTTAGGAGTTATAATCCATATATTTGTCTGGAGGCACAGATAAACCACGAAGTTACATTGGAGAGTATTATAATGAATCAATTTTAATTAATAATCTCATTTTACAGTGTTGTTAACTAGTGAAACTTTAACAGATGCGCAGATTTAGCGCGCAGTTAATTTCGTCATGTATTTTGAGAATAAAATGTGAGCAGTATTTTCGGGAAAATACTTTTTTTTTAAAAAAAAATTCGGACTGACATTGATATCTCTGTAGTCTGTACTAAACGCCAGCAATGCACTCTCTTGTTGTCTGGGCTGGAATACTTACTACAAAGTTCCCTTGTGTCTACGTCAGGACAAACATAACCTAGATGACGCAGCAAATAATATAGGCATACCTAGCATTTTCATTTGTGCAGTGCCCCAACTATTCCGATACTGAAGGAAGCAACGCATTGGAACGGAAATACTTGACTTTACGCGACACCACTACAGCATTTACTGCTAGAATGCAGCTTCCAACTGTAAGTTCTTAAAACACACAGACTAAATATTATTTGCCACTTGATAATTAGCTTAAACAGGCCGTCTTTTTTGCTTTATTTCCACGATTGTTGTATCACGATTGTTACATCCTCATAGTTCATCTCCGAAACTACTGAATACATTTGGGGGAAAAAAATTGGTAATGAGACTTTAATTTTGATCTCTTTGGCCCATACATGAGTGAGATAAGAAATGCAGGTAGAATTTTAGTCAGAATACTAAAGGAAATAAATCTACCTGGTATACCTAGGCATAGGTGGGAGAATGATATTAAAATGGGTCTTCAAGATATAGGATGTTGACTGGATTTATCTCGTTCAGGATTGTGACAAATGAAGTGCTCTTGTGTACACTTTAATGAACAAGTTGAGCGACTTATAGCACTTAAGAAGGACTCTGATCCATGTTGTTAGTTAGTGTGACCCAGTATACCATCCATTCCATATAAAACTCAAAGTCAACTTTATAAGATTTCTAAAAAAAACAGCTTATTGTGCAAAGAATAACTGATATGTGACATTAAATACAGATATCACATATATCTACAGACTCTACTTGATTTTAATATAGTGTCATTAAATGAAATTCTTGTTATGAAAATGTCAGCGACTGATTCAGGGTATAAAATATTTACCACTTATTTGTCTTTCCAACTGCCCATCTGTCTATCCACAGCTGTAAATAACATATGAATTTAGATTAAATTTGGACCGTGTTGTAAGAAGGCATTAAAATAGATAGGGCAAATATAATTTGTCTTCATATTAGTTCATTAAAACTCCTGCTTCATATGCAAGTATAAACAGTGCCATCTTTCTAGAAGTAATGGTACTAGTATTTGGATGTAACAAGAGAGGAGACAATAATTTTAAAGATTTTTGATAAAAAGTAAAAGTTTTAAGTAAAAATTAAACATTCTTAGTTTATCTTCCATTATTTCCGTTTGCATTTTGTTTAAATATGTTTATAAACTTTGAAAGAAAGGTTGCCAGCATGCCATACTGTAATGTTTCACCACGACAAACATTGGATATACCGAACTGTCTGGTAGTAGACCTGAAGGTTCAACACTGCTCATACAAAGGCCTACAATTGAACATTCTCAGCCAATACCATTCCCTTCCTAACCTCACAACCTGTTTCCCTAAAGTTAACTTAGCGTTATCCCTTCGTATTCTTCCCAGTCGTCTAAGTGAACATTTCTCATGAAATTTCTGTGACCAGAGTTCAGCTGCATATCTTGTCTCCCCCATAAAAGTTTAATATTTGTTTGATTGGCTTTCAAGATAATAGGTGGCCGGAATAATATGTTGTATTGCATTGTAAATGTGTAATTCCTTAATGCCTCTTGATTAGAAGTTTTTTCAATAATTTTTAATCTGTTAGGATCACTAAATTCTTGGACTATGTAGATCATCTGTATTTTTAAAAACAGTACTATGTTTCAGAAGTTGGATCTGCTTCTGTCCTTAGGTTAAAAGGGGGGAAGAAGAGCACCTACTGAGTTGGGTATGATAGAAAGAGCTAACCCTAATCACTGGACCAGTGATCGAGGTTAGTCATTTCTATTGGATCCAGCTTCCGAAACGTAGTGTTCTTTTTAAAAACACTGACAATGGGCATAGTCCAAGAATTTAGTGATCCCGATTGTAAAACACCATTTTCAGTACCCTTTAAAATTGATTTGTAATCTGTGCTCCACATTCAAAATAAGAAATTTAATATATTCCCATTTAAATATGTGTCCCATTAATAAAACATTATTAAATAAGGAAATAAGAACAGTCTGTTCTAACCCATTTAACTTACTGCCTTACTAGGAATCATATCTCCTGTTATGGGTCCTGTTGACGACAGAACATGGAAGAAGTATTATGATTCCTGAACAAACCCAAAAAGTCACCTCTAAATTAACACCTCTACATGATACTGGAATGCAGAGAGGATTATTATCAAATTATGGACAAGGGTTCTATGGAATGGGATATGATGGAGGGCTTCTTAATGGACATCACAGCCTTTTATCTTCACATGGAGCAAGACAAGCTGTAGGTGGTGATGTATTCATTCCAACAAATAAGTTTATATTTTATGGACATCCGGAGAGGAATCAGATTAGTGGCAATGTTCCTGTAATTCATAAACTCTCAACAGGGCAGGGATTTGGTGTGCCTTTTGTCCAGACAAATGAATACTATAAGCCGGGGCTGGGGTTTAATGTTACTGGGATAAATAACTACCCTATTACTAGACTGTGTAACTGTCCTGGAGTAGGAGTTAATGCAGCTGGAATGAAAGGATTTTATGGAGCAG